AAAATTATGCTCAAAGAATAAATAACCACAATCCTTTTAAATAAACCAATTTTTCTTTGCTTTCCAGACACACCAGCATCTGGAATTTGGAAGCATTTAAATGGTTAATGTTGCTCTAATATGCTTTAGTCTCCAAATGATTTTTACTGCTCTTTTTTGTGGGGGGGGAGGATAAAAATTTTAGAGTATTTTTTTTCTTGTATTCTTATTCTAGCTATCCTATTTTTTTCCTATCTCTGAAAAGGCAAACCTTTCTTTTAGCAGTTGTAAGTATGCAAGCAATCATTCAGCCAGTAGTTTTTTTTCCTTAACAAAACTGACTTTTTATTTTTCAAAGTAATTAAAAGAAGTTCATCTTCATTGAGCTGACACACATGCTGATACTCAGTTTTGCTCTCTTAGATTCATTTGAAAATGGAAACCAGATAGTGCTTCACAGTTTTAATTCACCTATAAGCACAGCAATTAAAAAAAAAAAGCCGTTTTGGCTAAAAGCAAGAGGTGGAAATTTGATGTTCTGAGAAACAGTTGTATCTTCAAACTAGAACATGAGATGTAATTTTATGAAGGTGGTTAGTGGTTACAGATTAGCAAAACATAACCATAATCTCCATCTCTCTTCTTCCTCCCACTGACAGACCAAATCAAGGAATTTCAGATGTTTCCTACTTAAGTGTAGCTTAAATAAGTAGCTGTGCAATTGATAGTGAAGATGTATTAAAACGATGTCCCCCCCCCCAAAGCCAAATCCACAGAAAGCCCAGTTATTCAGTCCCCACCCTTCTGCATGGAGTATGATAGTACCGGAGGCTGCTGCCCCTACAGCAGTAACCTCTGGGTTTGAAGCTTCCTACCCCTAATCCCAGGATGTCACTAGAGTAGATTTTTTACCATGCAGTAGCTAAAAATCTCCATGCAGAGTAGTTACCCAGATACAAAGCTGTTCTGACTGGATCATAAGAGGGACTTAGCTGTTTAGATTTAAATGTGTTGCAGACTCCCAGAACAAGCGCACATCAGTAGTAAAGACAGTTTAAACCTTTGGGGGACAACCCTATGTTTATATTATATTAATTCATAAATATTATACTAAATACCACTTAAATTGGACTTAAATGACTTCAAAGATAATGCATTACAATATGGCTATCCAGAGAGCACTAGTCTTTATGTATCCCAGTGACTCAGTCTTTACTGCCTCCTGTGTGCTAGACAGGACCAAAGTTATGAATGGATTTCTGGTGTATTCATGTGTGATGCAGTGGTGTGTGTGTGTGTCTCTGTGTGTGTGTGTGTGTGTGTGTGTGTGCGCGCGCGCATGTGTGTGTGCTTGAGCATGTGCATATGTGTACAGACGTGGATATATGTATGTATTTATGTACCATCAGTTCACCAGGAAACAAAAAGAAGTAAAAGAAAAATGAGAAAGGAAAGAAGTAGAGTAGTGGGTGACCTATTCCTTTTTCTAGGGAAGAAAAATTCTACAAAACAGAGCAAAATTGGCCCTCAGCTCATTTCTGCTACTATCCTGGGAATTGGCCTCTCTCTTGTTTGATCAATACTACAATGTCTTTCTCTTTGGAGTCTGAAAAAAAACAAAAAAACAAACAAACAAACAAACAAAAAAACAATCTTTCCAAAAGTGCCTCGAATTGGGAAGAAGAAAAGGTTCTAGTTAGCGAGAGTTTGCATTATAGTGGGCTTTCTTCTGTGCAGATTGTTTCTTTGATTCTGATTTGGCCTTTCCATCCCCCCTTTCTCTGTCTACCATACACAGACCCCTTCCCACCGATTGCTTGATGGTCTCTAGGGGGTAAATTTACCTTTACAGTAATTATCCCACTCCACAGCTGCTATTTGCTGCTTCCCAGTCCAACAGCCTTTTCTGGATGTCAGGGGTGGGGATGATCCACAACGCCCACCCACTCCCTCCTCCACGGACTCCCAATTCGACTGGAGTAATTGCCTTTTAAGGTGCACTCTACGCATGGCAGGTATTCTATTAACCCTTGGAAGTCTTCCCTTTTATAGTCACCCGAAATGGCAGGTGGCCAAGAAATGGATACCCACCTGAAACCTCATGCATATCATTAAGTTTTTACTAATTTTTAGGAACCAATATTGTATATATGTGCCCACTTTGGAGACCAGTGTCTTGTTAGGTCTCTCCATTATATGCCAGTGTAATTCATTAGAAGTTAAACACTCCTATGCCCTGAAACCAGGCTTAACAAAGGCATGGTTCCATCCCTAGACTTACATTGTCAGTTTAGAGATTGGGAAGATGTAGAAGCCAAACGCAGCTTTCATTCTTCAAGTCTCATCCTGTTTTTTAAGTTAAGAGTAATTAATCACCAATCGAAAGCAAGTAATTTTTTTAGGTGGCCTGAGGCTTATTTTATCAGGGTTAGCTAATAAATCAGACAGCATCAGTGAAGTAGGAGTTCAAACTCTACTAGGACTGAATACGCCAATTCTTAGAAATGCTTGAATTAATTTAGCTCTCTGGGAGCTTCTCAGTATTGTCAGGAATGTGGTGGTCCAACCCTGACTCTTAAAAATCAGAAGGATGGAGGAGCAGGAACTTTCTTAAGGGAAAATATAGACCCAAATTATGAAAGGCAAGAGGCAGCAATAAGGCACCCAGTATGCCAGAGCCAGCAGCCCTGCCTGTCAAAGACAAGCCAGTTTGCAAGGATAATTATTGGGGAAATGAAGTTTTGCCTGTCTTAGGAATCCTGGACAAACATATACATTATACTTGTGTGTGTGTGTGTGTGTGTGTGTGTGTGTGTGTGTGTGTGTTCGTTCACATGTGTGCACGTGTACCAAGCCTTCTGTAGCTTCCTGATGCAAGTGATAGAAATTCTTTACTATAATATGAGAGAGTTCAAATTACACTAGAAACAAAGTGGTGGTATCAGCAAGGGACTGCTGAGAAGAAAACATAGAATAATGTTAAAGTTTATCTGCATAGGAAATGGAGAAGTGATAAGGTGTTCCAATACAGAGCCCACAGAACATCCAGCTCCCCACAACTGTCTTTTGCCTCTGGTGGGTTATGATCTCTTAAAACTTTGAAATCTTAAATTACTACAAGAACTGCTTGTTCAGATGGGCATCCTCCCTCCCCCAGGCTGTTAAAATTCCATTATTACTATTTTTAATACTGAGGACCTATTAGAATGACAAAGGTTTTTATACAAACCTTGATTAGCTTCTAGGGAGCTTGATTGGAAAGGGAAAAACTACAAAGGCATGGTTGCCTCCAGAGGGAGGGAAAAGAAAGTGGCTTTCCCCCCAAATATTATTTTGAAGCCTGACTTTCCCTTCCCCCCATTCAGTCTCTTTTCTGAACAGACATTTTCTCCATATTGGATAAAGGTTGTTTTCTCTCTCCATGACAGCCCCCACCTCACCCCACCCCAACAAATCTAGTATATTTCCATTCTGCTGTGTTTTTTTGTGCTACTCAACATGCCATTAACTTTAAGATTTACTCCTCAGCAGGCAAACTGGAAGATGCTAAAGCCAATAAAAACTGCTCTCTGGGACTCCAACTATGAAGACTTTGGAGCTCTGTTTAGTATTCGCATGAAGGGAGGGCTGGAGAATGAGGGTGGTTGTGGTAGTGAAACCCTCTTGCTGCTCAGAGAGCCACTCAGCTCTGTGTGCTGGAGGATCAGCTCTGTTCATAGTCCAATTGTGGCCAAAGACAAGGCTGCTCTCTGTGTGGGGGTGAGTGTACGTGTGTGTTTTCATCTTCAAAACCACCAGCTCTAACATAGCAGCTTCCCTAGCTCTCCACACTGCTGTTTATTAAAACCTAAAACCGAACAGCCATACATCCCTACAACTTCCTTAGCCTGGTACTCTTTCCCCGCCTGGCCATCAATCTCTCTCAGAAAGCATTTAACTTGCCCACACAGCTCCAGCACCGATTAATCCCTGGTGCACATCCTATACATTACTGTTAGGGAGCGGAGCACTAGGCTAATTTCGTCACCCACCAGCCACCCACACACATTCTACAACTGAACTCATTTGGGGCTTTGCCTTAAAGATAATAAAACAAGGAGAAAACAGGCAGGCTGCAGACAGTCCCATGACCACTTTCCTAAAAAGTTGTTAGGCTTTAATTCTTTGATTATTCTGTCTCCACCTTCCCTAGGCACTCACTAGCAGAGATTGCTTCTAGGGAGAAATAATATACTATGAAGCTCCCTGTATGGTGAGTTTGGGATAAAAGGTTTACCTTTCAAAATGCATCTCTTACATGCATATATTCTTCCCCAAATCGGAGCCTCACTGGGGAGGGGGATTGTTCAGGTTTCCTAGACTCTTCACTCCACCCAGGGGATTCTTGGATTGGATTTTTATCACTCCTTCCACATATCCAAAACAGCCCCTTCTCACCAGTCACACCACAAGCAGACTACTGAGGCACATATCTCGCTAGAGAGAGTTTACCGTTAAATTGATAGCAAAATAAAAATATCTCTTTGAATTTGTTACCCCCCTCCCTTTTAGACGGCCGCACTCTTGCTCTTCTGGCCCACACAGAGGAAGAGGGCAATTCCTGTAGTGTTTTCAGCACCAGGGCGACGGACAGCACCCCAGATCCCGGGCCATCTGAGTGCCCGCTAGTCAGCTCAATTTTCTGGGTTTGCCCAGAGCAGCTGTCCCTATCCCAATGTTTCAAGTCTCTAGATACAAAACCCTCAGCCCAATTTGCCCCCACTCCTTTCTTCTCATCTCCTGTGCCCACTGCCCTCTGTACGGCACCGCTTCCATCGGCTGCTCGCCCCAAACCCAGCCTTGTCCCGGCGAACATCTCCCCACACACCCCAGCTCGGTCTCCGCTGCCGAGCGCCTCCCTCCTCGGCGCCCGCCCGCGGCTCGCTTTCGCCCCGTCTCCCGCTTGCCAGTAGCTGGCCGGCCAGTTTGCTGCCCGCCCGCTTCTGCTCCCTGGCAAAGTTGGGAGGGAAAGGTGCTCTCACCTTTGTGCATGCCTGTGAACCTGTCCTTTAGAACCGTAAGCTCGTAGATCTTGCCGAACTCCTCGAAGAGGGGCTTGAGGTCCTTCTCATCCAGGTTTCGGGGGATCTGCCCAATGAACAGCTTGATGGCATCGTGGTCCTTCATGGGAATGGTCGACGGGTTCCCCGGGCTGTGGCTTAATCCGTTCATGTGCCCAGCGCTGCCCGGGCTGCTGCCGAGCCCGTTGGTACTGAGGCTCGCGTTGTCAGCCTGTCCGTTTGCTAACGTGGCCATCTTTATATACATAGAGAAAAATCTTTCCTTTTATTCTTTCTCGCTCGCACTCTCTCGCTCCTCTCCCTCACTAGCTCGCTCGCGCTCACACACGCACACGCACACACACACGCGCACACACACACGCACACACACTCACACACACGCGCGCACAAACACACACACCACACACCACACACACACTCACACGCACTCACGCACACACACACACACACACACACTCACACACTCACACACTCGGGTTCTCTCCCCCTGTTTCCTACACCTCGCTCTGCTCTTGGCTTTCGTTCTATGCTCTCTCCTCTCTTCTCGTCTCCTCTCCTCTCCTATCTTCTCTTCTTTTGCGCGCGCGCGCTCTCTCTCCCTCTCTCTCTCTCTGTCTCTCTCTCGTTCTGATGTGATTTTTTTTTTCTTCTTTTTTCTTTTTTCTTTTTTTTTTTTTACATTGAACAGACAGGATCTCTGTCCTTTCGGTTTAAACAGGCTGGACCGGTTCAAGTTCCCTGCCAGATCAGGGGTGGGGGCGGCGAGGGCGCGCGGTAGGAGGAGGGGAGAGCGGGGGCCGAGAGTGGGCGCGCTGGGGGGCGCACGAAGGCAGGCGGCGGCCGGGGGCAGGGCGGTCGGGGCGGCGCCGGCCTCGCGCGCCTCCCCCGTCGGCGGCCCCGCGGAGCGGCGGTGGTACAGTCCGAGACGTCCCCCGGCTATAAATAGCGCCAGGCGCATGGCTCTTAGGGAGGCGCTGAGATTCCGGGCCCCGCAGCCGCGGGCAGCGGGTGCCTGTTAGCCACCGGGGCTCCTGGTCTCTTCTCTTTGCCTTTTGGAGGTTATTATTATTTTTTTTTTTTTGTAATAGCAGCAGGTGCAACCTTTTGTATTTTCAAAGCATTGATTTTCATTTTCGTGTGGGTAGGTAGGGGGGCGTTATCCACTTAGCTGCGCTCTGTTAGGGCGACAGGCGGGCTAAGCTAAGGCAGGGACGGCGGGCGGGGCGGCGGCGCAGGCGGCGGCGGAGGTGGAATGGGCGCTTTTCTTTTCCATCTGGCCCCCTTATTTATTTATTTAGACTAGAAAAAGCCACCAGGCTTGGAGGGAGTCCGCCCAGAGACCCGAGTGAGCACTGATCAGTGTCGAGAGACAAAAAAAACAAAACAAAAAACCAAAAAGCGCTACATAAATATATATTATGTGAATAAATCTGTAGACAGGAGCTCTAGCTCTCGCGCTCTCTGTTTCTGTCTCTGCTTTTCTCCTTCTCTCATTCCCAACCTGCCACAGCAGTCCCTAAATTTCTCCTCCCTAGTCTGCATCCACCGACACCGGGTCCACCTGGGAGGATGGGGCTTGGAGAGTAGCTCCGGGCCGCGCCAAAGGCTCAGGGAGTAGAATTCGGCTTGGTTCTCCGCCCCAGCCCTCTCAGAAGGCGGGAGGGAGTGTTTCAGTCCCGAACGACTTCTCCTGTCCGGACAGCGGCAGCCAGTGCAGCCGGTGGCCGGAGGGAGAAAGGTAGGAGCAGGGGCTCCCAGCTTGCTCGCCCTGGGCGGATGAGGAAGGCCCTGGGCGCGGTGGCCGGAGCTCGCTCGGGGGAGAGGCTTGGTTTTTGCTCTCTTTCTTGTTTTACTGAAGCAAATTGGAAAATTATTTTCTTAGTCTACTGTCAAAGAAATGAAGCCCGCCCCGAGCTCCTGCCAATTCAGCTACAGAGGGAGGTAGACTGGCGCGGTTTGTGCTGCCCTGCACCACCCAATCCAGAGGTGCGAAGCAGGGCGTCTAGAGCGCAGGGTCTGGCCGCCGGGATTGCACTGCGCGGGACTCCCGCTGGGCCCGTGGGGCTAGAGCCTCAGCTGCTCGCCAGAGGGAGTGGCAGGCGCAAGAGCTGTCCCGTCTCTGGGGGCGAATAGTGGTGGTGAACTTGGCTGGAGCAGCCGATTTTCATTCTCAGCGTGTTTACCTGCACCCTCCATTCTCTCTCTCGTTTGCTTTTCTCGGCTTTAGAAACCCGGCCAATTAAAATAACGCGCCCATTCTCCCTCAGGCTTCAGGGCCCAGAGCTGGGACGGCAGGCGGAGCTGCTGCCCCCCCACCCCACCATCCAGACCCTCGTTGACCGCTTTCTGGCTATCGGGTGGGAGGTGTCTCTACTCTTAACCCTGAATTACAGACGTTGTATTTAAATTTTAATTTAAAGAAGCGAGACTCTAATAAGCTGAAAAATCTGGCCACGCATTTGGTACAACTAGGAAGGCAGGCTCTACACTATAGAGCCAGATGTGTCTGGAAGGACCCAGGGATTCTCTCAGGCCTGAGGTTTACAGCCCCATACCCAAACTAGCTCCAGATCCTCCTTTCTGAGGATGGGGTCCTGAACCAAAGAGCAAGAACAATTGGGAAAGCAGAGGGCCATTGTTCATTTAAACATTTTCTGTCTTTGCTTTTTGGAGGTGTGCGCGTGTGTGTTTCCTAGGCTTCTACTATTCCATCGTTGATGCTGATCTAAGAATCGCTGAAGTTGGTGGAATGGAGCAGAAACTCATCTGAAGAGGAGGTCTACTATGGATGTGTGTTTTGTGAGTCTCTGATAAGCTATAATAAGATGGGTATGTCCCTGGTAAGCAAGTTGAAGTGTTTGTTAGTGTGTGAAAATGTTTTGTTAGTGCTGTGTGCTTGCATGGTAGGTGCTGTTTGTACCCACCCCCAGGAAACACAAGCAGAAAATAATGACTATTCATATTCACCATCCCACAGCATCTTGTTGTTGGCTCTCAGGAAGTGAACTATGTATTCTTCCATAACTGGAGAGTTGATGAAAACAATTTCTACTTGAGCTTCTTTTTTTCTGTCCCTGCCTCCCATCTTATCAAAGCAAAAGCACGAGGATATGAAGCTGAGATGTAAAAAGCTAGGGAAAAGGAAGGGACTGCGCAGGTGAAGACCACAGAAGGTCACCTTTCACCTTCTTTTCTATCCCAGTAACCCCCAGGTCCAAGAGAGCCATTCACAGGTGTTTAATTATTTATGCTATTATTATCAATAACAGCCACTATGCAAATCAAAGCAGTAGCGTCTTGGCAGGGGTGAATGAAAGAATTTGGGGTGTTAAAGAAAGGGGTCACCTGGGTATTTTAGATTGCCTTGCTGCCTCATGTTTCCTTCAGGGTTGTCCTGCTGGGTTGTGTCTCTTTGTGTGTTTACCCAAGGCTGGGAAGAATGCCTTCCTGCTTGGGCAGGCCATTTCCCTCCTCAGTAGTCCACCTGATAGAGGTATGTCTTGGATTTAGGCTTAGCTGTTTGTGGGGAGGGCCTCTGTTATCTTTCATCTCTCTGACAGGTGTATGGGGAGTTATCCTAGGTCCCCTCAGAAACACCCTGGACACTGGGTCCCCTCATGTGGATAGGGCAGTTGAAGCAGTTTCTGGCATGGCACTGCAGTCTTAAAGGTGCCAAGCAGCAGCTTTTCAACTTCCACATCTTAGCTTCAGCAGAATGTTGGGGGAGCAATGTGCACAGGTGTCTCAAAAGAATGAATAGAGGAGCAAGAGTAAGACCCCTGGGAAAATATATGGTGTGTAGTTAGGTTGGCTCTTTAGCACCCTTGTTGTTGATATTCTAGGAAGACCTGTGGTAAGTCCCCTTCCCCCTCAGGTCATCAAAGAGAAATGTAATTAGGGAAACACGGGGACAAAATATTACTCATCGTGTCATTTAAGTGGATTTTAAACTTTTCCTCCAAGTGCCACTTTATGCCCACAACTGTTCCATCCTCAGAGAGAGAGGAGACCAGCAAATGAAAGGGGGAACTGGGAACATTTGCTTTCTGTTTTCTTTCTGATTCTGGAGTGAATGCCTTGTTGCTGATTCATCTATGGGGGTGTCAGGATGCCCTGTGGTGCTGAAGGTATTTGAGAGCAGATAAGGTCATTTCCCTCCGTTCTTCCTCTCTGTCTTTAAGGGGAGAGGACACTTTCTCCAAGCACTACTTCCCCACTTTTAGCCACCCTCCACCTCCTTCCCCCTGGTACCCACTGAACCATAGCCAGACCTGCTTTAACTGTTCTGCCGGTGACTTTCCTTTCTATTTGGTTAGAGAGCAGGAATCTGGTCCCTTTTTATCACTGTCATCCCTCACACAGTGATGGTCATATATAGGAACTCAGGATAGTGATTCCTAATTAATTTTACTGCGTTCATCCTTCTGTTCCCTTGGAATAGGGGCCTGTGGCTCTAAGTCAACACTGTGGGAAGGGCTCAGGGTCAGACATGAGAACACACACAGGAGCTCAGCCTCCTGAATTTGCCTGGCTAAGCTTGGAGGCATCGCCATGCAGCCATCCTTGCATTTATCTAGCCCTTCTGAGCTCTCTCACTGGAAATGTTGGAGAAAGGACAGGTCTGCAAAGAACTCACTGTCTAGTCAGAGAGCAAAGTCACACCAAGTGAAAAACCCCAGAACAGCAAACTGCAACAGATGGTTAAATGTCTTCCAGGCTTGAGGATTCCCACCAGGAGGAAATAGAAAGCAGAACATAATGCAAGTTGAGGATGAGAAGTGGGGATGAACTAACTGCGAGGTGGGCAGTGGCTTTGAGGAGAGAGGCATGCTTGCAAAGCTGGATGCCAGGCTGTTGTACTGCAGAGAGCTGGCCAGTGGACTGGAATTGGACAGAGGGAAAGAAGCAGTGGATTCTCAATGGAATCCAGGGAAGACTTCCTGGAGAAGAGTGCCATGATGTGGTCCTCAGGGAAGAACAATTCAGCCTGGGCTGGCAGCGGTGGGTAGAGTGAGCATGGTCGGGAGTGAGCAGTCAGCTGTGGCTGATAAGAAGAGCCTCCCAGACACTCCCCCTGTAGGCAGAGCCTGAGAAGCAGGGTGGGACTTGGGAGTGTTCAGCCTTTTGTGAACTGCACCATAAGCTCAGGGGGCCAGTGCCCTTGAATGATTTGGGAAGACTTTGTAAGGCCCAGTTATGAAGAGAAAAAAGCAGTGCTCACCATCTCTGTTAATTTTAGCAGTATCTTGTCACCACTGAAAGTCCTCCCTGTCTTGTTCTGAGCCACAGTAAATCTGTCTAGGGAACCAAACCTATTGGAGGGTGGGAGAGAATAGGAGGAGGGAAACTGTGGGTTTAAGAAACCCTGGGGGCTCCTTAGAAGGATAGAACTGTCACCAGGG